GTTTTGTAGCTAATTATTTGCTCATGGGCATACATTAGAAAATCTCTTATAATAAGGAGTAAGATGGATTAAATAACTTGTTTTATTATTTTACCATATTAGTAGGGTAGGAAAAGAGTACCACTAATTGAGTAAATAGTGGGCAAAAAGTAATGAAAACTTTTAACAATTTGGAAATGAAAAATTGGACTATGATATTGTATGTCGATGGATCACTTCAATAATTATAACTCAATAACAATTCAAATCTAACAGACCAACACCATGAGCATGTTTTAAAAGTAAGAATAAATTAATCAAAGGCAAAGTGCTCATTTGTTTTTGTTATTTTCCTTAATAAGTGAGTACCATGGTTTAATATTATGATGTGTACCATAATAAAGATCGATATTGGTATAGCTTGCTCCCACATAAACGTTCAAAATTTACAAAGCAAACCGTTAGATACGAGTCGATCTGAGCTGCACCCGCAACCAAGAGAAGACTCCACTTTACAAGTTTCAGGAGATTCCATCCCAAAATCATAATTCGTATATATATATGACATTAGCAGGAGTAATCCCTTACCATTCATGATAAAGTGTTTAATTTTTTCTTCTTTTCTCAATATCTTGTATGATTTGAAAAGTTTACACTTTGATATAAAATGAACTTGTTATTTTTTTTTATCTTCTATTGTATATTTTTAAAAATAAGTGGAATAACCAAACAAGGCCTTATTTCAACGCATTGTGCCGTATGGATGGTTATAATTTTATTTTTTTTTGGGTGTTTCGAGCTGGTTTACCCTTTGGGCTAATTTGGATTCGGGAATCAGTTCTGGGTTAGTTAGGTTCCAGTCCCCTCCCAATTGTTGTTGTGGGGGATCGAACACGGGTTATAATTGTAGGATAGAGGAGGTATTAATTTGAGTGAGCAAGTGATGATGGAGTAAATAGAGATGATGAGTTATATAGTTTGTCTAGAAAGAGACAAGATAGCATAGAGGGAGCACTTTATAAGTTTCATCACGACACGCCAAAACGTAACTAGAATAGCAGCAACTAATTAAAAGGTTGCTTCTTAATGCAAGGCATGCAATAGATTTATAGATAATGAGCACATATTGTATAGCTTAAGGTTAAGGTTGGGGCTCAATGTCATAGGTCGCTGTTTCATCCAGTGTGATTAGTGGGGTGACTATGCCATTATTGCTTTAGTAGATTAGTAGCAGCATTAATTAGGGTTTGCACCAACAAAACATAGTATTCCCTATATCCTAAATCAATTGCTACAGTAGGATTGAAGGGTGTTTTATGCGATAACTTTTTTAATGGCGATCCAATTGGTGTAAGTAATAACGAACAAAATATTTTAAATAATTGGTTATAAGGAGAGACGATGATGTTCTCCGAAGTAGAAGCCTACTTGTTAGTAATGATTGTTTAGGGTTCATTATTGATCTAGCTAAGAGCCTAAGACCAAACCAATTTAGACTAGGATCAAAGACTAGATTGGTAAATTTCTGATCTTGGACCATACATGAATTAGACTAGACTAGAAGCTAAGGCAGCGAAATTTCTCTGTCTTTTTTTTTTTTTTTTTTTTTTCTTCTTCTTCTTTACAATAAAAATTACTCGTTCATTGGTCAAACCGACTTGTTTCATAATAATATCCGTATCTGATTTGCTAGTAATTTGACATTAGTAATATAACATAGCATAGTAATAAGCTTAAGCACCTTTTAGGGTCTGTTCTCATATGTTGAAATTCAGTTCAGTTCAATTCAGCTCCGCTCAATTCAGCTCCGCTCCTAATTTCCTTCTCTTATAAAAAATTCATTTCAGTTCAGTTCATTTAAGTCAATGAGAACAGGCCCTTAATCAACCAAAATTAGTTCTTTTTACGCAAGATGATATAATAGTCTTATCAATTTATTATACTTGTAGTTAAGGTAAGACTAGTTAATATCTGATAAATAATCAATACACATCCTTTTTAAATAAAAGAAAAGGACAATCTTTAAGAACTTCTAACCAAATAAGATAAACAATGCAAAAAACACCTATATATTACTCCGTACTCCGTAATACATAGCCACAAATCCACTTATTGTTGAATGTTCCTAAGAAAAAAAGTCCAAATTCTATATCATCATTCTTCCTCCTAATCTTTTCACTAGATTGCACTCCATCTCCAACAATGCAATCCATCTCCAACAATGCAATCCATATCACCATATCTCTTTCGACTCTTTGTTCAAATACATACCAACTTCAATAAATTTGACTTTTTAGATCATCATTTTTGTCAACAGCAATTAACATATAAAGTAGTAAGAACTATGCACACACTTTTAACCCACACATTCTTTATTGATATCAAGTAATACAACACTCTTTATCTCTTAATTAATCTTATGCTCTCATAGTCTCATTCTAAGTTAATCTTACTTAATTCAAACTCGAACTCGTAAACGTGATCTTAACTTTATTGTATACACTCAAAACGTTCTCTCAATTCCATATATATGTACATGATTGGAAATTAGGATTTGTAGTTTGACAAATTTCAAAGGGTTCACTTGTGAAGCTTAAGCTTATATAATTCATATAATATAATTATGTTCAAACATGCTTAACAATACCTTAAACTAGAATTGTTCATCATATAATTTTAGGTCCACTTAATCAATTTTATTTTATGAACAAGAAACATACGATTATCAATACAATCTGATGAAGCTCCAAGAACAAAAATTATGCAAGATCACCATTAATTAATTAATCCATAACATAACACCATATTTGAAATGCATACTATACAAAGATTTCATTTATGAAATTTGTTTTGCATAAGTCTAAGAAAAATCATCTTAGATTATGATCATGCTAATAAAAAAAAGCATACATTTTCTAACAATACATTTGATTATTTGAATACCACTTAATATTACAAAATTCTACTTTAAATACAACACCATATATATTATACTATAGTTATCTTTTTTATTATTATAAAAAAAAAATAAATAAATAAAAAAAAATCTACTTTAGAAATATTTGCATCAGATGGATAAGTGAGCTGTTAATGCCTATGCTACTATGGAAATTTCTTTTGTTTTTTTTTTTTGAAAAATACTATGGAAATTTCTTAAAGCTAAAACAAACCTTAAACATGGGATATACTATACAAACCCTATCAATTCTGCTGCACTCTTAGATTTGAAACTTGACACCTCTAGATAAACTGGAACAACTCCCTTACCAGTTGATCTAAACATATACGTGCTCGTATAGACAAATCGAACCACCATCTGACAAGTTTTTATAATATCTGAAATAAAAACCTTCCAGTAACCTAAGCTTGGTTTTCACTAAAAGAATAGAATAGAATGTGTTAAAGGGTTTGATTCTGCCATAAAGCAAAAAGAGGAAAACCATAGAAGGAGGAAAAAGAAGGAAAAAGGAAAGCTCATATGATATGAGTAGAAGGGGCCATAATTTTTTTTAAAAATTTGTGCATTATTATTATTATTTGTAAAACAAATATAGAAAGTGGACATCACAGGTACTACTCGTAGTTTTGATTGTTCTTAAAAGGTGTGCGTGGAAAAAGAATGCCAAAAAGGCATTACATGAGACAATGGTCCATGCTGCTCAACATCACTACTATACCCTATTAATCTATTATACCTTTTTTTTTTTTTTTTTTTTTTTTCCTTTTTATCAACGCTCCGCCTCAATTTAATCTTATACTCGTACATTCTTAGTCATTTTCGAGTACACTTGAAACTACTCGTATATGAAAAAGCTATTATGTCACTTATCTGATCAATTGGATGAGAACATATAAATACATTTGATTAACTTATATTCTTGCATAATGTTAAGTACACTCCAGTCTAGGTATACCCAAATACAAAAGGGAGATTCTTTAAGTTTACTCCTTGTGTTATAGAGTAATTTACACGATCAAACTTGATATACATATCAATGCAAAAGTTTAACCTTAAATATAGGAGTGTAAAATTAAATTTTAATAAATTAATATAAAAAAGTTGATATTATAAGACTTTAAATTATCATCTATTTAACCACATATAGTATCTCAAGATAAAATATGATACAGCACGAAAAATCTATGATCAAAGTTAATATGTGAACCGTTTAAAAAAAGTTTAACATGTTAATTTTGGGACAAATGAAGTACCATACTTCATAATATAATGTTTCTCGCTTAGTGGTTAAACCTTTCCTCTCGATTCTAAGAGATCGTGACATTGATTTTCATCACCCGTACTTGTGGCTCTTTAAATGCAAAGTGAAAAACTTAGGGTTCGTTTAGCATCGCTGTGGTTTTCTGTTTTTTGTTTTCTACAACCATATGATATATGTAATATGAAGTATAATGAATAAAAAATTTGTCAAATTTATTAAAATCATGATAATTTTGAAAATTAACAATAGAAAAGTGAAAATACCCTTTTCTTCTTTTCTATTTTTGGTTTTTTGTTTTCCAAAAAACTGAAAACTGAAAACAAAAAATGATGTCAAACAAGTGACAAACATATGTGATAACTAAATTTAGAAAAGAAAAGTCATTTTTTTATCTTACACAACCAAACATGGGTAAATTTCTATTTTCTTTTTAAGAGGGGCATCCAAGTAGGGTAAATAATAGCATAGCATGCTATAGAAATTGATTATACTTTCATTCCTTCACTCAATTTCCATGACAACAATAATACCTGCAGACCTCATCACTCTCACTTAACGTAAAGCTAACGCCATTCTCTCTCTTTACTTTTCCCTCTTAAAGCTCATTCTTTCATTCTACTATCACTTTCATATTTCCTTCTTTTTCCACCTCAAAATACACCCCCAAATTCCCTACTTTTTTTTTCAAAAATTTGCCAAAAACTCATCAACCCACTTCAATTTCTTCCTTAAATACCTCAATTCTGCAATTATTTCACAACCCCAGAAGTTAAATCACAAGAATTTCACCCCCCAAAAGTCATGAGAGACAGAGGAAAAAGAGAGGTTGAAGCATATAATAATATTAATAATGGAGGAGATTATAATTTTGTTGGTGATAATTATTTCCCTGAATTTCCCTGCAAAAAACACCCAAATTCAGCTTCTTCTTCAGGTGGGATTTGTGCTTACTGTCTTACTGATAGACTTGCTCAGTTGGTCTGCCCTCAGTGTGGTGAACAGAGGCTTTCTTCCTATTGTTCTTGCTCTTTTAACACTAATAATAAGTTCTACACTAGCTATGATACCTCCTCCTCCTCCAACGCCACCGCGGCCGATGTCGGAAGAATCTCATTCTTACTAGAGAATGATAAGAATGGTGAAGAGATCTCAAGTTCGAGGTCGAGGATTGAACGAAGATCAGCTCATAACAATGATGATTTCTCCCATTTTAGAAGAAGCAATAGCATTTCTACTACTGCTGTCAATAATAATCATAGTAACAATCATGGGTCAAGATCAGAAACTGGAAAGTTTTGGAAGATTGGAAGATTGTTCAGAAAAAAGAGAGATAAAAACAGTCAGAATATCAGCAACAACAATAATCAGAGTAGTCATAATAATGAAGAAAATTATGAGTGTAATGGGGTTTCAAGATCAAGATCACTTTGCAGTTTCAGGGGATTCTATGATACTGATCAAGAAAATGGAGGTTTTGCAGTTTCATCATCTGCTGCAAGAGCTTCAAGTGTAAGTACAGGAAATTTTGTTCTAGATTCAGCTAAAAGAAGCTGTTTTAGTGAATCTGAAGCAAGAATTAGCAACTTTGATTATTGTGATGCTTCTAATTTTGTTGGTACAAACAAGAGTAATATTTTCTCATTGAGAGAGAGTGAGTTTGTTAATAGTGAAGATCATGCTTTTATTGATTTGAAGCTGCATGATATGTCATCCGAAAGCTCGAAAATGCCACCTGATCTTGCTGCTTTGAGAAGGAGTGGGCTTGGGTTATCAACTAAGGAGTTCGCGTTTCGAGGCGGCAATGGCGGTGGTGGTGATGGATTGGGGCATGAGATGTTCAGAAATGGTGGGGGGTCATGTAGAGTTAGTAGTGTTAGTGAAAGAGAATTGAGGAAATGCAGAAAGAGTTACAAAGTTTGGAAATGGTTTTTCAGGCATCAGACTGATAATTCTGGCAAATTTGATGATCATGGCCCTTTCAATTCATAAGAAATAATCAATTTGTTCTTAATACATCCTTAAATTATATTCCTAGTTTTTGTATCTTTCTTTAGGTTTGTTCCTATTTAAGTTGATTTGGAAGAATTTGAGGTCTTGTTGCTTTATATTAGGTGAAGAAAATGCTAATTTTACACCAACAATCAAAGGGGATGTGTGTTATTCAATCCTCTTTTTTTCTTTCTAGCTTGTGAATAGGACTCTTCTCTTTCCGCATTTTGTATCTTCTTCATGCTATAGAAAGGCAAGAGAGTCGCAAAGGATAATGATATAGACAATATCTGATAGATGCGAGGTTTCGATTACATATTCGTACATTCGTATAATTGTAAGTGATTATTGTGTTGCACAACTGAAAATAACACTTAACTTGGTCAAACTTTTGCTACTAGCATGCTAGAAATAATTTGCAAAAAAGCAGTGGGCTTACTAGTTAGGATGTGTCAATATTTTGTTTGGTTTTGTTGTTCTCTTTTTGCTCATGTATCATGTCAAACATGAGAAATCATTGCATTTTGCATCATACATTTGTGGTTGATGGATTCTATTAAAGTGATTATATAATTATATCTATTGACCTTAAGAAGGAATATCTAATAGGACATTTAAAAATTTAAGCAAACTCATGCGGAAATTTAATAGTCACATTAAGTATAAACAACATAATTTACTCAAAATCATGTAGTGATTGGATCATTTTCATACTCTCTCCATCACTCGATATATTATCATTGTTGTAAAATCGATAACATAGCATCACAACTCAGGAATGTTGATAGTTATTTCCGAACATTAAACAATAAGACTCAGTATACGTGACTATTAAATTCATAAGACAGTTTGTAAATGACTAAACGCGAAAGCATGTACTGTAAGATGTTTTGTCACAGTCCACAGAAAGAGTCAAATGTCAAAGCAATGTTCTTTAGGCAAAAGAAAAAAATTTCGGTGAGAGCAAAGATATGGTTACCACACACATTGATAGTGATTGCAGGACAACATAATAGTATAATTAGCACTTAATTTATGAAAATAAACATAATTAAGAAAAGCTAAGTTTATGTCTGAACATTTGCTAAGTTAAAAAAAGGCATGTCAGGAAACCTTTTTTGTGCAAAAAAAAAAAAAAAAAAAAAAAAAGTGTTGCGGCTTAAGGTCTAAGGAAACGGTTTTGTCTTTCTGAAATATGTGTAAAAGATTGGTCTTATGCTGTCTGTTGTACTAATGACAACTTAATTGAAGTAGAAAAACCCAAGACATAAAGATAGATGAAATCAGGAAAAGAATAATGTTGGAGTGTTTTTTACACACTTTTTTTTTTTCTATGTATGTGAAGCACAAAAAAATGTGCTCATATACAGGGTAAAGCGTCAAGATAAATGATTGGGGGTGCAAAAAACACTTATTTTTATCATTGTAGTTGGGGCATGTTGTTACAATCATGAACGAGAGAAAGTAATTAAAAATTTGTCCTATTTACCCGATTTTTACTTATCGAAACTTATTTTTAAGAAAAATTGTCTATGCTAAACTAACCTAAACTTTTCTGAATTTATTTGGTTTATTAGTTGAATTTAATTAGCCCTTAATGATCATATATGAAGTATGAACTTATTAATTTCAAAATTAGAGGAAATATAGTGAACAAAACAAAACCTAGGAGAAATTACAAGGTTATTATATGCAAACAATATCCCTAAAAATACCCTATATGCATCGGTTTAAAACGTTATTCCCACAATGTTGTCCACGTAGGATTGGTTGGAGCTTTGTATTTTTTTTCTAGTTAAACAAAGAACCGCTAACGGTGATAGCGATTCTATACATTAAAACCGCTAACACTGTTGACGGTTCTATGTTGAAACAAAAAAAAAAAAAATACAAAGCTCTATCCAATCCTACGTAGACAAAATTGTGGGAATAAGTTTTGAAACCGATGCACATAGGGAATAAATTTACCATTAAGCAATTTTTAGGGAAATCGTTCTATTATATGATGTAGTGTTCTTCAAAATGCTAAAAAATAAGAAAGTTGGCTGCATTCGAGCATAATATAAACTATCATCCAAGATTAAGGGCATGTTCTCATAGACTGAGCTGAACTGAATATTTTATAAGCGAACGAAATTAGGAGCTGAACTGAAAATAAACGTATGAGAACAGGTCCAAACTATAAGCATTCTTTCAAGAAGAGAAAAAAAAAAAAAAAAAAAAAAAAAAAAAAAAAAAAAAAAAAAACTAAGATTGTATAATTATCATAGATTAATTGAAATGGTCAAGACTAAGAGAGAATGTTTCGAACCAAAAAATATGACAGCCTTGAGCATGCCATTATTATCCTATAATCATTTTGTGTTTCTTCATAGCAAGTACCGTTTGCATTATTGATATATTGTAGTAGATTTTAAAATGCAAGTAGCTATGCCAACTCACAAATAGAGAAGTTAACATATTTGGGATCAGAGGAAGAGAGTAATTCTTTAATGAAACATTGAATTTTATTACTCGCTATTGTCTCTATTATTTTTCCGTGACTTTTTTCTGTTACTCAAAAAGATTCTAAATAGAAAGAACAAAAAGAAACGGAAGGAGTATTACACATTCAAGTGAAATGGTCAAGCCTGAGAAAGGGCATGTTACCAGCCAAATTGCTAGCCTATTACTATTAAATTATATTTGATGCCTTAGCATCATCTACAGATTACGTATTATATAACATGATGCCAATGAATCTGTTATCAATCCTAGAGACTTGAGTATAATTATAGCCTTGTCCAAGCTAATTGCAACCGTGGTTCTTTCCTCTTGAATTTCTCATTTGAAATGGCGGGAGCTATGGCGGTCCTGATGGTACTACTAGCGGCAATTGCTACTGGGGCCTTTGCCAATGATCCTGACATGCTTCAAGATGTCTGTGTTGCAGACCATACACCAGGTAAATCTATTCATCAAAACAACTAATTCAGTCATGTATGATCTAAAAACAAGAGGTGTGAGACTGTGGGGGGTAGCTCAGAAGTAAGCCATCCCCCTTGATCTCCAAGGTCAACGGATCGAATCTGCATTTTTCCTTTCCTCAAGGCAAGAGAGAAGAAAATATATGGGTGTCACACAATGTCTCATCTTAGAAGAAAATAAATTATAGTCTTGACACAAAACTCTTAGACTAACATTAAATAATGTGAATCGTATGACATTGGTAAACAAATGTATAACAAACCTTCTATAAAAATAATCCACCTTCAGCCCCTCATTAATACTAAAGTTGTAAGGAAACAACCAAAATTTCACCATTTTGCACATTTTTAGATGGTACTACTACATTCTTAGAGTATTGTTTATTCATTAGTCCACATATATTGTTACTTCTATAAGCCTAATTACTTATTTTTCAGATTTCACCTTATTGTTTTTATTTAATTTTTTCGACAACAAATTCGAAATCTAACCTGTCAGATGATCAATGTCTCAGGAATACTTGTGAACGGGTTCGCGTGCAAAAATATTAGCACAATATCCCCACTAGACTTCTTCTTTAAAGGGATTTCACAACCAGGCCAGATCACAAACACTATTCTCGGTTCAAAAGTCACCTCAGCGAATGTCCAAGACATTCCAGGTCTCAATACATTGGGAATCTCCATGGCTCGTGCCGATTTTGCTCCCTACGGTCTAAACCCACCTCACATTCACCCCCGTGCCACTGAGATGCTCTTTGTCCTCGAAGGTGAACTATATGTTGGCTTCATAACCACCAGCAATAAGCTCATTTCCAAGGTTGTTAAGGCTGGTGAAGTATTTGTTTTCCCTAGAGGTTTGGTTCACTTCCAGAAAAACATGTCCAAACACCCAGCTGCTGTTTTAGCTGCCTTCAACAGCCAACTCCCTGGCACTCAACAGTTTGCAGCTGCTCTATTTACTTCCGACCCGCCTGTGCCTAATGATGTGCTAGCTAAGGCTTTTAACACTGACCAACACAGTGTTGAGAAGATTAGGGCTGGCCTTACTCCTAAAATGTAGGCTTTTTCCATGGTAATATAACATAAATCTTAATTCAGATGTTAGTTTGTAACATTAAGTTATTAGCAATAAGGATTGTTCATGATCAATTGGATTAATATGTTTTTCATTGATTTTTTTTTTTTTCATGTTGAAAGTATCATTCTTTACTAGTGTGTATTAATATTAATGTAAGTTGATCGAATTTGTATCATTAATACCGACTTATTATTTGCCATAAGTTTGATTTGAAATTTATTGGAATTCAAAGCATGTTGTGTCTTGTGCATCCTCCTACTAAAACCTAAATGGTCACAAAGATTTTCCCAATTTCTGGGACTGTCTTTTCCAAAATAAATAAAAAACATATATAAAATAGAAAAGAAAAAAAAGAAAGACAACAATGTGTTTAGCAACCATTATGATTTGGTTACAAAACAAATTTGGACACCAGTCTACTAACTTAGCGACCACTGTTAATAATGGCTATTTCCTACATTTTGTAGTGTGTGATCCTCCTGCAGCTCCTTAAATTATTCTTCTTGTTCAAGAAAGTATACTGTCTGAGAGTATTAAGGGTTTAACTATGAAGAAGTCATAAATGTGACAAGAATGCATAGTAACATCAGAGTTGTGATCCAAACTAATTGAAAATTTACTACGATTATTAGTTGACTTAGTTTTATTCTTGGTTCCAAGTAGTAGAACTATTATTGGAATCTCCATACAAGTAACCTTTGATTACACTACGCCTCTAAAAGTTGTTCAAAAGCCGACTTTAGCTTGTTAACAGTTACAAGCAAATGAATAAGCAAATAATTATCTGATCCAACCCCAGCCCCTCTCTCCTCCTCAATAATACACCCAAAAAGGGACTGTTCAAAAGGGGTTGTTTTGAAGCACTGGCAATGCAAAGATGAGGCCAAAACATGCCATCACACCCCCCCCCCCCCAACACCAAAACAAGGCTAGAGTTTCCCATTAAATGGTTTTCTATTGCTCTGCCCCCTAAGCCCAAGCCGCTTGCCATAATTGTTGGTCCCCCTTGACAATAAGGTATGGCTTTGCCCCTAGTTCAAACATTGAACCTCTCTTTAATTACTGTATGTAAATATATTGTATAATATTTATTTTTGACATATTCAAAGACAAGGAGAAAGAAGAACCACTAATTGTATAAGTTGATGACTTTATGTATGATGATGAATATGAAAGCATTGGCAAATTACTAAAAGAAGTTAAGTACACTAGAGTTCACCACAGACTTAACAAATAGACCAGATTGAAAAAAAGTAAACCCAGCTGAACAACATACGAAGTATTCGAAATAGTTGTGTAACAATTTATAGTACCTTTGAATATGGTCATATATCAGTCAGCTCACTACAGATATCGTATAAGTTCAACTGCATATTTTCCCTTCTTTGTTGTAACTATCTCGCTGATCTGCAAAGTGATCAATAATAATAGTAATAATAAAAATTGACATAATGATAAGTGGAACAAAAAAACTGGAATTCTAGCACAAAAACAAACCTTCAATCTCCCACTGCCACTGACTGAGACGATGTCACCAGTCTTAAGTGTAGCTCCGTTTTTCGTCACAGTATTCCAGTTAATGCGGACATCTCCTTTGCTATAAAAATGATCAATATAGTGCATTAAATTCTATTTCTGGCTCATATGTCATACATTTAGCATATTAACTCTTCCCTCCATCCCAAATAACAGACCTATGCCCCTATGGGTTGTCTCGACGTAGTAATCTATCACTTTCTAGATTTAGCATATTGGAATCTGAACCATGCTAATACACCTTATTATCTTTAATGAAACATTAGTTAAGAAATTCAAAGAAGATCTACAATGGCATGATGGAAATGTAAGACTTTAAGTAGTGAAAATTAATTAGGGAATTTTGACTCAATCCCCTGAAAAAAAAATCAGTCAAATGTGGGCATATAACAATGGGAGTAAGTTGTTACACCAAAAGCTATGCTAAAGTAGTGTATGTTGGAAGACTAATCCCTAAACACAAATGAAGATATATGCGACCAAAAGTTGAAAGCAAATCCACTTTTGCAGTTGGCAACACACGTCCAACATTGATCATAACTACATGAAACAACCAAAGGTAAATTTCATGAAGTAGCAGCAAATAGAATATATATATTCTTCATTTGCAATTGTTTCTACTAATAATGTTCTGTGTCATATGCTATATTGCAAAGGCCATAAGATCTAACTGTAATGGATCATACCAATACCAATCTATGACTATAAGAATAAGAAGAAAATGAACAAAATGCATCCACGAAAATGACAATTCACAGCCAGAAATAATGGCTAATAGCCTACAATTTGTAGATTGAATGGTGAGACACCTTCTCATATACCACACATCTACAAATAAAAAACAAGGTAAATGCAGTCTGGGATTCCCAACAAACTAAAGAAGGAGCAGGCAGATAAAAGAATATCCATATTTAAACACTAATCTACCACCATTATGAAAAGCAAAATCTAATGAATGAGAAATGAAAGGTAAAGCTCGAATCTACCTTATCAAATCAGCAAACTTTGAGCGTGAAATTTTAAATCCAGCACTAGCTATAGCATCAACTCTCAACGACGACTCTACTGTCTTCAGTGTCTTAATCCTGCATTGAACAAACAATGATTCTTATGGTGTAGACTCCCTAAAATTCGTGAAAGTATACAAACCAAGTAACCAACAACAACCACTACCTTGGTGGTTCATATTCGAGTTCTTCCAATGGTATCAATGTACAAGAGACAAAAACCTTACCAACCTGCCACAGAAAAGCTGCTCACAAAAAAGATTTTGGTAATATTTTATTTAGTGATACTTAAACATGCTCACTATTCATCTTAAAGCTTCAATACTACAATAGTATAAAGCTACAAATGGAACAACTGAAACACTCTGTTAAGCTCAAGTGCAAAAACGGGATCCAACAGAGAGTTATCTACCTTGTCTAATGATGACATCATATAGTCAACAAGCTCAGGAACAATAAGAACTTGGGCCCCTTTTTCTCCCTGTAAATCCAAAAATATATAATCAAGATATATTTACTCATAATCATATATCTAGGCTAAACAATACACGTAATAAATTTTTGCGATTTCTTTTTCATATTTTTAAGAATCCCCCTCTCAAACCCAGGGCATCCTTTCGAGAAACCAGCTTGCTTGTTTAATGTTCATCCTCAAGTATGGGCAACTGGTATTTTCAAAAGGGCATAATTGATAGTGCAATATACTTATAGTCGTATCTTGAGGAGATATTTAAGGGAGTTAGTTGGAGTAATATTATGAATCACTATCAGGAGGAGAGGGCATCACCAAATTAATTTGGATTAATCAGTGCTGCTTCATTTAGTTCTATAACATACTCTCTACACTCCTACTCAAGATTAATCGGAGGTCTAAACTCAGCTGAATCATATAAGTAGTCCTCAATCTAGCTGCAAGAAAAAGGAAGGGAGAGAGAGAGAGGCATTGAACTATGAAAACATGATAAGCTTGACTTGCTCAAATTTACCATACCTACATCTTTCTATAATTGAGCAATTATCAAAAGAAAGTTCAAAATAAAAGTCAAATGGACTACATAACATGCCTGAAGGAGAATATCTCCAAGCTTTTCTCTGGCAATCCCTGTGCCTAGAATTGAGCCAAGGAAGTCCCCATGGGTAGGTGGTTGATATCCAAAGTTCCCTGTAATGCTAGAGACAGTAATCAATTTAATCATTAAGCAATATACATATTCAATAATTATGCTTAAACACATAGCTAGCAAAAGAAGTTAGAACATAAGAGAAATGGCCACCTCAATGCTGCGACGGTATCAGAAACAGATCTAAGAACTTCTGGGTGTCCCACTGAAAGTCGACACCTCTCTGCCTACATAATTTTGAGAAACTCAAACTAAGTCGGAAGATTTTAAAAAGTCCAAGAATTAGACAACTAGCTTCAGAATAAATTTTTGACCTCCAAATATCCACCATTAGGAATAGCATTCACATCAGCTAACTTGTTTAAGGCCACCATAGCCTCATTTAATACAGGTGGGGTAAGAAAATCTGTATGCAGGACTTCTCTTCTCAATGATGCCCGGTTTGCCTTAAAACCAAAGAATATCCTATTAGACAAGTACAATAGCTACAACCATGACACCAGTTTATAAGATGAGAGAAGGAAATGCAAGTACCATATCAATAATATGCTTTATCTGTTCAATAAGGTTTCTGTCACTAACTCCTTTAAGTAATACATCCACTTCATTCTTTGTAGCTTGAGTTACTTGGCATACCTCTGCATATTTGGCCCATAGACTGTTAAATTGAAATATATGCAGACTTAAGTCCAAAATAAGTTTTCAGTTCTAGTGGATTTTCTAGAGGTTAACGACCACCATGAATTTGCAAAAGCCTAATATACAAAAAACATATTACTCAAAGGTCAAAAGCAGAGATTTCAAAAATCAGAAACATGCACACAGAAACGAACTTTGTGTAGTAATTAGTTGCTCACTTGTTGGCAAAACAGGTCTGAGACTCGTATAACCACACCGCATAAGAGGAAGAATAGTATAAGCTTACCCATCCTACTAAATAGTTATCCCTACCTCAACTCTCTCCTTTTCCCTCAACTTCCTTCCTAGTCCTTTTCTCCCTAAATTCCTTTGTCCCACCCACATCCATTTTTGAGGTCCAAAGTTTCCAAACTCAGAAACGTCATCATTTGATGAGGATCTAACCAGCTCTGCGAAGAAACATACATGTGCGGCCTTACCATTGCAGTGTTGCCTGTATGGAGGTAATTTGAAAGACTAATACAACCTAATTTTACCCATTATACTAAACATATTACGTAGTATAAATTTGTATCTCCCACAACCTCTGAATAACTATAAATGTCAAACAACCAAAGTTTTTCTGCAGCTATCTTACACTGTACAATCTTTCTCACAATATCCTCTACTCAGTGCTATGACTGCTATCTCTTCACATTCTCATACCACGATATCTCTAACGCTCCAGCCTCCAGGATACTAAACCAAGAATTAGGCTTCAAGCTTTCCACAACCAACAATAACAACTCCAACAAAGTAAAGGTACCCATGATCTCCAAAGTCCATCATTCAAAAGCTGAAAATTTTCTCCTAATTCCTTATCAAAGACACTAACTTAAAAACACTTCCAATCTTTACCATAAACATCAAGTAATCATATTCATATGCGCATACATTGAAAACAAATTCAATATTCAAGCTAGTAGCTACACATAGTCTGCATTAAATTAGCATGCATTACTGCTAGAAATTTTAGTAACCCACATTGGCATTTCATCAAACACCTTAAGTACAACATCAAAACCCCCAAAAAAATACTAAGAAATAGGGTGAAAACAACAAAGTCCCATTTCTTTTTTCACAAATGGGACAGTATCATCCAATCCTATTAAACAAAACATAAGCTAAACATTTTTTTTCTTTTTTTGAACCTGCAACTTCTGGGTGCGAAGATTTCATACTAATCAAGAGAAAATTTGAAGAACCCATATTGCTAAATCAAAAAAAAAAAATAATAATAATAATTGATTACCTGGAGAAATTGGAGATGAGGAGAGAGAAAATGAACGGAAAGTTGGGGAGTGAAGAAAGAGATTGTTGCGATAAGGAAGATGAACTGCGTTTGATAATAATCCTCCTTTAGGAGTGATGAGAATAGTGGAAGCCATGGATTGAACTCGAGATAGTACACTCATTGTTTTGTTTAATTTAGATGGATAGATTGAGTCACTCTGATACAGTTTGTTAGAGTTTTGCAAATTCTGAGCTTTCTCCTTCCCTTTCAATGAGATAAACGAACCATAATGTTTCTATATAAATGTCACTTTCAATTTATGGCCCATCAATTATTATAAGATTAAAAAAAAAATTAAAACTTAAATAAATTGCAAAATATATTAGAATATTAACAAGGGTCACATTTTTTGTCAAATGAGACTCAAGGTTGAGTATTTAAACTTAGCAACTTTCAAATTTCAAAAAAACTTAGCAACTTTCTTTTGAAGTTGTTATGGTATACTTCCTCGTTCTATTAATATTGCAACAATGGATTCTTTGCACTATTCATCACTCTTGTTTGACCATATAATATGAGTTATACGTTAAGCAAAATATAGTCAAGTGGGATCTTGTTAGATTCGTCTCATATAATACTTTCACAAAATTAAATTTTTATAATTTTTACTCTTACACAATTATAAATATTTAGCATATAAAATGTATTTCAGGATGCTTAATTTCCTCTTTGTTGCAATATTAACAGAACGGAGGAAGTACATTGCAAAAAATACTCCCTCTCTCCTAAAAATACTCACTTGAATCTCACCATTGGAGATGGTCTAATTGGTAGGGAGGAATGGAGGACTACGTGTTCGATTCCTCACAACAATAATTGGGAGAAAATTATAACCTAAACATTCAAAAATAGCCCCGAATGGAACACCGAAAAAAAATAAATCAAATATGACCAATATCAAATTGTTAATGCAATACTTTCACCATAATCTAATCTAAAATTCTAAACTTATTAAATTAAAATGTCAAGTGTGATTTCATTAAATGCGTAATTGACTAATTGTGTGGATAGCTCCGCTTTGCTATCTCTTGATCCTAGCCTCACCAAAAAATGGCGCGCTTCAATTATCAATGTAACATCATTGAGCCTGATAACAAATTAAATCGGCAGAACATTGACAAGGGAGGCTCACTCAGCCGGAAATTCGTACAACCATTGGCAGAGGGAGAAGGGGTCCGGGCACGTGCCCTACCACCATTTTAAAAAAAATTATGTTTAATATCTTTTTATTAAAAAAAAATACATGACTTCATTAGCTAATGCATGCAATTAACTATTCTAATAGTTTCAATCTTAGTGTATCATATATTCATATTCATATTCATATTCATTTGGATGAGTGGTGTACGATAGAGTTGTGCTAGTTGCGGCGGTGGAGGTGCTAGTTGCGGCGGTGATTGCAGTTAAGAGAGTAAGTGTAGGAGTGGTTTGGAAGTCGGAGTTAAATGGAAGAGGGGAGGAGTGAAAATAGGGATGGAGGAAATAAGGTTGTCTTGATGAAGCAAACCCCGGTTCATCTCCTACATAAACTTGGCGATTCCCTAGGGCTTTTTTATTACGATCCTGCCACTTCATAAACGTTTAATGTTTATCAAGGAGATGAACTTAGAATTCCTTGTCTTGATGGTGTTCTTTTTTTTCCACAATTGGTGGAGCAACAAGGGAAGATGAAAACTTGTTTGTGCACTTATTGCACGGTTGCACCCAAAGGAATGTTATGTAACTTTCAAAATCACATTTAGTCATTTAGTAAAAACCCCACTTTTTATTATTCACCTTGTTTAAAACTTCCTCTTCAGAAACTTATCCAAAAGAGATGAGACCTTTATTCGATAGTATAACTGTGTAGCACTTGATCATTGTATTATAACCCTAAATCCAAAAGCACTTGTCAGATTCAAGGGAACAAGATCTTCCAATGTGTTATTGCCCTAGAAAATCAGCCAATATGGCAATTCAACTACGAAATATGAGAAAAACATCGGGAATCATCTAGAAAACAGCAAGAATTATCTAACTACAGATATATTATAGGGTCGTCCAGAACTTAAGTTCCAAAAGTCTTAGGTTCAAAGGGTAAAAAAAGAAGCAAAACTTTAGAATACAGAGAAAAGAAGCTAAAAAAGTATCTAGTCTCGTTCCTGTAAAAACTGCGAACTGCCTGCCTGAGCTACAGAAAACTCCTTATGGATTGATAGTCCATCTCCACATTGAGATGTAAAAAACATAGAATCAGCATTTCCTACTACTCTACACTACCCCAGCTTAAACAACATACATTAGGGCGGCCAAGCATCTGTCTTTTTACCTCTCAAGACCGCTAAACTTTGATCCAGAGAAGGTACTTGTAACCAAGAACAAGCAACAGAATCGTCACAACAGCAGCAGCAGCAACAGAGCCCCAAAGCCAATACTTGTCTGATTTTTTCTTTTTAAGTATAGCCTTTGGGAGAGTACCTCGAGTTCTTATAGGTTTTCGGTGCCTGAGAACATTCTCCTGCTGAGACTTAGCTTTAGACGGGACTGGAGTTTCAACGACTGCTTCCACATCCTCAGATTTCTCAGCTTCATCAGTCTCAGGATTTTCAGTTGCCTCTTCTTCATCGGTTGGCTGAACAGTGGATGCTCCTTTCTTCCTCAATTTTTTTTCACGCTCCTATAATGGGATTAGATATAATTAAAGGGTCATAAGGAATAATTTAAAAGCACCTTTTTTCTATTTCCCTTTCACATCACAGTAACACCAGCCACTCCTTTTTTTCTTCAAGTAAAAAACCAACCACTTTATCAAAAGCACATGTTCAACAAATAAATAAACTAATTATCCCGCATTTTACTAAATGCAACATTTCTACTTTTACCCTTACCAATGCATAATTTCCATCTTTAATTATCGATAAATTGTTCAAAAAGTTGACAATCGAAAACTTTACATTGAGAATATTCTAACAAGAGACTAAACACTTAATAAAAAATAAAAAATAAAAAAAGTGAATTACAAGTTACTTTGTAAGTGGTAGTTAGTCAAACAATGAGACATGAATAGAAGAGCTTCAAATTGACATAACAAGATGGTTTCTTAATCAATGGAACAGATGATCAAATTAATACTACAAAATCAAAAAAATGAAACACAATTGAGCAAGAGTAGGAGAAGAGGGAAGCGGGGGTAGTTGAGGGAACAAGAATTTACCTTTTGCTTCTTTTCAGCTTCTTTCTGGATTCTAAGAGCTGCTTTAGCAGCAGCTTTGTCTTGCATCTTCTTCTTTCTCTCAAAGGCTTGTCTTTGTTTTTCCTTCTCTTCTTCCTTCTTCATTTCCTTCAGTTTCTCTGCATCAATTGCAGTAACATTTGAGACATCCTTCTTCGGTTTTTCTACCACAAAGACATCTTCTTCCAGGTCTCGCTCTGAAGCAGTTTTTAGATCTTTGCTTCCCTTTTTTAAATCCTTCTGAGCCTTCTCCTCGGGCAATTTTTCTTCTTTTAAAGTAGCCTTTGGAACTTCTTTCTGCGGCTTTGATGAGGGTTTAGACACCACAGCTGTCTCAGAAGGTTTTGGGGACTCTGCCCTCACCAGTGGCTTCTCATCAAAATTCCTAATTCGTCCATCTCTGCTCAACTGTCGACGGTCCAGTGATGTCAAGAGTTTCTTCTCATAATCAGCCCTAAAAGTCTTGCTGCTGTTCCATTGGGACATAAATTTCTCAACCTGGAAAATGGGAGATGAATACGATCACATTAGAATGCCATGTGAAACACTTCATATTAAGGGGAAGTACAAGTCCAAGAAAAACCTCAGTATTATAGAGTTCCTCAACGGCCTTCACATCCCTCCTGTTCATAGCAATTTCATTTGCTGTGCTTATAACTCTTCGGTTATCAAAGAAATCTTGATTCTGGAGAAAAAAACAAAGGAAAGAAAAAATAAAATGAGATATTTACTTGTCAGCAAAATGCTCAACCACAAATCCACATATTATGCCCATATATAACACAATCAACTCAACAATAATTGATGATTGATCACAGCATAGCCACAATATTAAGACAGACCCTGATGGTTTAAGCATCAGGTATGAATTTCTTTTAAAGCACCCACCCCCCTCCCAAAAATAAAGGAAAAGAAAAGAATAAGGACACTCCTTCAACAGAAACACTCCTTAAACAGAGATAATTGAAGACATTATTAGGCACACTTCAACAGAGACGGGCAAGAGGATAGGAAATGAGGGCGGTGACAACAAAGTCAAGTTGGCCACAGAGAAAGATTCAACATTCAGGCAAGCCAGCTGGTGAGCTACCAGTGCCTCACGCCACCTAATTTTTCAGGGAGGGTGGCTTGAACGAAATCTTCAATCTGCAAGTTAAGTCAGCTACCATTCTAGGTGAGAATTAATGCATTACTTCTTCTCCAAACAAGAGCCGTTGAGGAATTAAATTTAGGGTCGATCATTTAGTTTCAATGCATTTCAAACTAGAAAGCATTCAAGATAGGAAAGAAGAACTGGAAACAACTTCAATTTTTCAAAAAAGTAAAGTCAAAAGAAATCATTGCGTAAAGACTGATACCAAGTGATACATGACAGCGGCTCATCAAAACAATAAGATTACTCCCATTTTGACAAAGCAAAAAATGTTAGTAATTGAAAAAGGTGTTGGTATCCTGAACCTACTACACCACCAAATCAACTGCCACATTCTAGCTGATCGCATGTGGAAAAATGAAATTCAATGAAAAAATACAATTGACAAGAAGATTGCATAGCTTAAAGTAAAATGTGATGACAACCCAGAACATTGACAAGCAGGAAATCATGAAATCATATATCAAAGAAGACGAGAACATACCGCTTCGTTTTGTGAAGCCTTTATTTCCTTCACAGTTAAGAGGGCTTTATTTTTCTGATCCTTAACTTTATCCAGCTCAGCTTTTATGGCCTCGATCTGCTTCTTTACTGTACTCAGTTGTGGACTTAAACGATCCTTTTTTGCTTTTATTTCTGCCTGCTGCTTCCGTACTCCATCCAGATCAGTACCTAAAAGCTGTAGAAAAATTTTACCAAAAAATTAAAGTAGAAAATCATAGATACGGAAAGGGTTTGATGATATCTGATCAAGTAATATACCTTGACCTGGTCCTGGAGTGCTTCTTTTTGCCCCATGGATTCCTGAATCTTTGCCCTCATAGCACTATTGGCAATAACCTTCGGTCTTGTTGCCTCCAATTCTTTGATTTCCTTCATAAGTTGTTTCTCCTCTTTCAATGACATAGTTTCATGTTGCATCCGATACTCAAAACTTCGAATCTGCATAAATTTATACCAAGGTCAAATACATATCAGCTATTATATTACAGCTGCCTTCCAAGAATTTGTTACTTTGACTCACACGCTGATTAAGCTCCTCCTCAGACGAACATATGCCATATCCCTTCTCTCCACCACTACCACGTAAGGAGCCCAAAGCGCTCTGCAAGGGCTTCATTTCCTCTCTTTTTTCATTTATAAATGCCCGATATTGTGACCCCTCATCCTTAAAAGCATTCAACTCATCATACAGCTCAGATTTCTCAACCTGCAAAACAGTAATTAAGTGCAAATCCTCAAAATCACCATAAAAATTGATAAAGATAACTATCCTTTGCAAGATAGCAACCCAGATCTTGCAATTTCTAGAATATTTCACTCTTTGCTAAAAGTCCAGTGAAAAGCTGAGAAAGACATGGAACTATGAATCTGGTATATGGGTTGACTGTTGACCCAAGGACAAGAATGAGCAATACTCAAATTGTTCATCAATTTCCATCTGATATACAGGGTTCACATCTTAAGTTATAAAAAGATATCTAAATTAGCAGTGGACAATAAGGTTGAAATGAAGCAGTATGAATGTATCACGCAATATAGAACAAGAGGGATACACCGAACAAAGGTACAAACACAGAGACTTTAGTATAAACAATTTCCAAGCAAAGCCTTAGAACTATAACTTATACACGTAAGAAGACCCAAAGATATTTGTGAACAATTATCAATACAAATGTTCATGCACTCAGATTATGCACTAACAACAGTAACGATTAGTAAGCCTTTTCAGCTAATGCATTGAGAAAGTTAACAGACGTGAAAGAGATCAGATGAAGACAAGCAAAAAGCTCACAGGACAAGATATTTGACACGGAAATACCAAATAGTCAGATACTATAGTAATGAGGAAGAGATAGCATCCAGTAGCTTGAAATAAAGATAACAGACAATGTTAGAAGCAACGTACTAACACTTTATATAGGAACTAATGGTATTGATATAGCTTTTGCGCTCATTGACCTTATTGGAAACAAGGTACAGCATATAGCATTACAGGGAACATCAAAATACATAGTAGTGGCATAATATAGTATATTATTCAGATACACATGATTTCACAATGCTCAAAAGTTAGCAAATAATCAGAAAATGAACTCGGACAAAATACTTCTAGGAATTTAAGTCATCCCCAAAGCAATGATCCAGAGTTCCAACGGAGTATTGTTTGTTTGATTTCTTATACGGTCAGGGAAACCACATAGTTCCAAAGGAAGATCTTACTGAGTTAATAAGATATTTCACAGGATAACCAAATTGCATTCATTTGTTTATGACAATTGCAGCATGGAAAATCAACCATTTAAACTATAGAGCTTCAAAAAAGAAGAAAATAACAAAATAGCTTCTTACTGACATTTTTAACTTTCAAATCTTCAAATAACTGATTGAGTCTTTCGTTTTTCTTCCGAATTTCTTTCTCAATCTGCTCCAATTCAGCCTTCACTTTTGGGTCTTCATAGAGCCGATGCTTGGGAAAATAAAAGCAATGGGTTTGCCTCTCCTGAGGCCATTCATCAACCGCGTCCTTGGGAAAGCCGGCATTTGAGACTTCGTTTGCCTCTCCAGTGGTTTGTACTTCATCGACACCGTGTGAACCAAACGTGATCACCTCAGAAAAATCAATTTTCCCATTTTCCTTGTCAAACAATTTACCTTTCACTTCATCATTCACCTTTGGTAACTCAGATCCTGCAACTTCTACACCCATTTCTTGTTTCCTACACCAATAACAGATTCTTAATACCACCATAAAATCAATCTCTTCTAATTCTAAACCAATTATATTGCTCACAGTTACACTAATTAATATAAAATTAATACAATAATTAACAAGAAAAGTCAAATTCATAAACCCCATCACAATTCTCCCAAATTCAAATTAATTTAATAGAACTAAAACTTCTACAGCCCAAATTTTACAGTAATACCAATTATGTTACTAACACTCTTTATTTCATCTCAAATACCCGTGTTAGACCCTCGACACTCCGATATGGATACAAACCGTTCAACCCTTCCCAAAATCAGGGGATTTCACACAAATAGCCAATTCGGACACTTAACATACACATATCAGAGATCAACATACCAAAGATCATAAGATTCATAACTTTAACAGATCTCAAAAAATGAAATAAAATCAAATCAATCAGATAACAAACATGAATAATTAAGCTCTGAAAAATTGATCTAAAATCAAAAATCAACAGCACCCAATTCAAATTACACCAAGAGATGAACAATAAACATGAATAATTAAGCTATAAAAAATTGATCTAAAATCAAAAATCAACAACACCCAATTCAAATTACACCAAGAAATGAACAAAGAATCAAGAACCAATGAATAAACATGCATGCATCAAAGAAATATAACAGTAAACCCAAAAAACAAAATTAAAAAAAAAGGCGATCGATGACAGATCGAATAGATTGGATCAAACAAGAAATGAAATTAGTTAAAAAAAAAAAAAAGAGGGATAATTACCGAAAGAGGAAATCTGAAGTGAAGAAGAGTCGTAAAAGAGTTAACAGATCTCAAGACTATTAGAGATAGAAAGAAGAGAGAGAAAGAGAAAGGGAGACAAGACCAAAGTATGATTTATAGGGTGTGTTCTCCTATATGGAGAAGATTGGTGATGGAGAAGATTATTTCAGTTTTAAGTAATTTTCTCCTCTTTTTTTTCCTTAAAAAAAAGTGTAAAATTTTTCCTCTAACGACTTGTATGACTTTGCGATTTTTATTTCAGAAAATCTTATATGTGGTTGGGCATCGTGTGATAGGGTTATTTCGTCAGTGTAATAGGAGTTATCCGATCAGTGTTTAAGAGGTTATTTCGTCAGTGTAATAGGAGTTATCCGATCAGTGTTATAAGGGTTACTCAGTTTGTATTATAGGGATTACTTGATCAGTTTTATATGTGTTACTTTGTTCTTTTATAACTGGCCACACACAAGACGAGTTGTATTCGTTTTTATTTTACACTCGGATGTACGAATCTCTATAGGTAAACTTTTCTATCCGTATTTAAGGTCTATTCTCTTCAACTTAATTTTAGTTCAGTTCCTAATTTCCTTCTTTCGTAAACAATTCAGTTCAGTTCAACTCCAATCAATTTAGTTCAGTTCAGCTCAGCTTAGCTGCTCAATAAATTAGAATAGGCCGTTAGTTACTCTGTAAATTTTCTCCTCTAACGACTTGTATAAATTTACAGTTTTTATCTATCGACTTGTATAATTTTGTGATTTTCATTATATACCCGGATGTACTAGTCTCTGTGAAAACCTTTTTACTCGCATTTAATTACTATGTACCATAGCTATCTCGAGCTGGGTTGACCTTTTCAGTCCAGTTAGCTCTTTAGCTTCTTCCTAACCTATAAAAACATTTACAAAAATCGGATGTATAATAAAATAAATATTGTACCCTAAAATGATAAAAGTTATCCTATAATGAATGAAAGTTATCCATTCTATATAAGTTATTCGGATATAAATAAAATTATTTAAACTTTATGGATAAAAGTTATCCTAAATTGATGTACTCCGTATCATGTATCCATAGGAAAAACTAATTGGGTCGAACTTTGACCTTGGTTTACCTAACGTAATTAGGTAGTATATAATCAAGACTTTACCTTAGTATGTGTATTATATACAAGTATATACTTGGCTGAATTAATACTACAAATCTTAATAGTCAGTGTATTGAAATTTTTTATTAATCTATGTGTTTATTGTTCTTTAAAATGTTTTTACTCCACAATACATAACATGTGTTTATTGCTCCATAAATAGTAAAGAGTGTAGCTGGGGTTACTTATTTAGAGGGTATTTGGTCAGTCAAGGATTACTCGATCACGGGTTATTTGATCAGAGGTTACCCAATTAATTAGGTATTACAATAAATATTTTAGTGTGTGTCGGACAACCACACGGTGTGCGATCGCGATCAGCCACACAAAAAAATGCGCAATAGCTTGTATGGTCAAGTAACAAGTTTATCATATGATTACTTTATGAACTCTTCTTAGTCTAGTACGACTGTACGAGTATAAATATTAGGGGCAAATAAATCGTCTTTTATGGACAATAAAGCGAGAATCAATAAAAATGGAGGATAGCTTTTATGTGATTTGGTTGGTTTACTAAAATCTTCGATAACATCGATTTTGTTTTGGTATAATTTGGAAACGTTTCCACATTTGCTGACAACGTTTACAAGGAAATCATACATTATGATGAGTGATGGTGACTTAAAGGTCAAATTAAAAATAAATTTTAATTTTTGAAAAACATTTTAACTTTATAATACGAGTAGTTACTTTTTTTTTTCCTTGTGAAAATCGTTTTCTGTGTGGATAAATCGTTTTCTGTGTGGATACATTTATTGCAAAAGATAGGCTTTTTTTTTTTTTTTTTTGGTGCAAAAGAGGATCAAGACCCGTATTATTCATAAAAGCTAAAAAACGATTACATAACAAAGCGAGACGAAGATACGCCTATAACATCCTCCCAAAGAAGATTTTTTATTTCGATCGGAGGATCATCGAAATAAACTATCTTCTCCTCAATTACAACCCCCATATTGGCTAACTTATCGGCCACTTTGTTACCCTCCCTAAAACAATGAACTAAATTAACATTACTACCAAAGGAATTTATAAGGTTGCCACACGAATTTAGAATATGAATGCATTCTCCTCCTCTCTGATCCTTGCTTAGGATAGCTTCGATGCAGGCCTTGTTGTCCATTTGGACCATGATTTTGATAGCTCCCATCTGCTTTATCATATTGAGACCAATTTCCAGCGCTAGTAACTCAGCCTTATAGGCATTACAGACCCCAAAGTTTGCAGCATAGGCTTTCACAAATTTTCCGTATCAATCTCGAATCACCCCACCACCCCTAGCTGCACCAGGGGTGCCCTTTGCCGCACCATCTGTATTTAAAGCCAGCTAGGAAACAGGTGGCACAAGCCATTTAATAAAAACTTACTCTTTTGCTTTTTTGTTGCGTCCAGAATCTCCTAGAGAGAAGGTCTTCCATGTTTCCTCAAATTGTGATCGAAGAAAAATACCTGTATCTCCTAGGATGTCATCGCTTTTGCCAAAAACAGATATGTTTCTCCATTTCCAGATCCACCACAAAGTAATAGCAAAGCAAGTCGACCATTTTTCTGAGAAAATCAACCCCTCAGCTTCCAGATTTCTAGTTATACATTGCTTGAGATCCCCAACATAGAAAGAAGGGTATATCGCTGAACTTCCTACATTCTTCCAGATGGTTCTTGCAATTGGACAATCTCGAAATAGGTGGAGTAGAGTTTCATTCGTGTTTTGCAAACATCGATGGCAGCGTGGGTCATCAGTGAGATGCCTCTTCAATCTATTGGCATTACAAAGGATTCTATCATGGAGTATGAGCCACAAAAATGTGTGAATTCTTTGTTGCACAGGGGTATGCCACGCCAATTCAATTCCCACCTATGGTCAGTTGGGATATGATCATCCTCTCTCATAATTCTAAAGGCATACTTAATTGAAAATTGACCTTTATTAGGTCCTTTCCAGTATCGAAGGTCACCAATTTCAGGGTCTTCAATTAATTTATGAGAGGCTATGCTTTTGATACAGTGAGAGGGTAGTAGATGAGCAAAGAGATCCCAACGCCACCCCTCACCAATCCTCCACAATTCTTCCACAGTTGCACCTTCAATTGATTCAGGGATGGCAGCTACACATGATTCACGGAGAGGATCATTCGTTGCCCAACAGTGATCCCAAAACAAAGTCTTCTTACCACTACCTATAGCAACACGAGAGCCCTTCTTTAAGAGTGTTGCATTATCAGTAATACCGCGCCACATATTCGACATATTGGAACAAGGTTGAAACATATCAATGTCACAACACCCCTTACAATATTTATAGCGCAATACCCTTGACCAAAGAGACTCCGGCTCCGAAAGCATCCTCCACCCCAATTTTGTGAGAAAAGCAGAGTTCACTTGCCTTGCCGATCTTATACCAAGTCCACCTTTCTCACGCGGTAACTGCAAAGTATCCCATGAGAGAAGGTGGATACGGCGCTGTTCATACGTCCCACCCCAAACAAATCGTCTCGCTTTTTTGTCGATTTCATCGCAAGTGGTTCTCGGCAATTTTGTTGTTTGCATTGAGTAATTTGCCATTGTAGTGAGGGTTGATTTTGTGAGAGTTATACGGCCAGCAAGTGATAAGAATTTTGTCTTCCATCCCGTAAGACAACGGTCTATCTTCTCACACAGATGAGCATAAGTATCACTTGTAACTCGGCTTGTTAATGTTGGCATCCCAAGATATAAGCCCAAGTCTTTAGTGACTTCCATTCCAAGAGCCTGGCTTATTGTCTGCTTTTCCAAGGGGTTCATATTATTTGAAAAATAAACCCTTGACTTCGGTAAACTGAATTTTTGACCCGACGCTGAGCAAAAACGTGTGAGGCAATCATTGATCACAGCAGCTTGTTCAATAGAGGCTTCAGCAAAGAGAATTAGGTCGTATGCAACAAAGAGGTTCGAGAGCAAAGGTCCACCTCGACTTGCATAGACCGACTTCCACCTACCTTCAAAAATAGCCTCCTCGATAACTTGGTTGAGACGTTCCATACAAAAAACGAAGAGATAAGGTGAGAGTGGATCACCTTGTCTAATTCCCCGTGTAGGGAAAAAAGACTGATTTTTCTCCATTCCAAAACACCTTCATTGAGGGAATGGTCACACATTCCATGATCACTTCAATCATCACCATAGGTAGTCTCATCTCCATGAGTGTGTCTCGAATGAATGCCCATCTAAGCCTATCATAGGCCTTTTCAAAGTCAATCTTGATAGTCATGTAACCCTTACCCCCTTTTTCCGTTTCATAGTGTGGAGAACCTCTTGCACAATCACTATATTATCTGTGATTTGACGTCCCGACACAAAACTTGATTGTGAATCAGCAATTATCTTTGGCGGCACTAATTTAATTCTATTCACAATCGCTTTTGTGACAATCTTGTAAGCAACGTTGCATAGACCAATTGGTCTAAATTGGGAAGGTTGTTCGGTATTGTCGATCTTGGGTATGAGCACTATAAAGGTCTCATTTAAGTGACTTGGCAGACCTTTTCCCTCTAGAGCTTGCAACACCATAGAGTAAACATTCGTTGCTACATGATCCCAATTTTTCTGAAAAAATAGGGCTTGAAAGCCGTCAGGACCCAGGGCTTTAAGTGATCCCATATTATTGATAACAAAATCAATGTCATTTTTTGTATAGGGTCGTGACAACAAGTTCAAGTCTAAGTCAGATAGCCGAGTGCAAATTCCCGTAGGAATATTATAGGCAGCATAAGTTCCATCATCAGTGAATAAAGTAGCAAAATAGCTTACTACACTATTTTTGACTTCCTGTTTGTCATACACCCATTGATCATTACTGTTTTTGATAGCAACAATTTTGTTTCTCCATCTACGAACAACCGTACTCAACTGGAAAAAGGTAGTATTACGATCTCCATATTGCAACCAATCTACCCTTGCCTTTTGATACCAAAGCATCTCTTCTTGTTGGAGAATCGCATCAAGATCTCTTCTCAGAGTTGCTTCGAGTTTGATCAAACCCGAATCTCTTTGATGTGCAAGCTTCGACTGGACCCTTGGATTCGAGCCATAAGGTGTCTTTTTTCACAGAAAATGTTAT